CTATTTTTGAGATATTTCATCTATAGTTCTTCATGTCCCCTCTACTAGAGGCTCTACATTTCGATTATTTCTAATAAAATTCTACCAAATCCTGGTATATTGATATTTTTATCTTTTTAAATCCATCGATGAGATGAAAACTAATACAAAGAAAGTTGTATTGTTATTTATAGAAGAAAACAACTTTATCAGTTATAAGACGCAAAGAAGCCACAGATCAAATCAAACAAAGTTTTAAAACTCTAGCTAGATAAAACATGTTTTGCTAATGGATTACCTATATTGTATAAAAGAATAATACTTTAAATGGAATGCCTACAAATTTAACTTATAAAGACGGGGACTATGTATATTGAAACACTAAGTAAACACTATAGGAATTTAGTAAATTGTATTCAGGGGTTATATTCTGCTTAAAGAAACCTTATGTATGACAACTTCTGAATCTAAAGAAAAGGAGATCAAGGGTGAGTCAATGAGATTTCAAACCTGCAACACAAAAATATAACTGGTATCTTAATTTTAAAGTTCGTGTACAAGAAACACGGCTTAATATAAATGAAACCGAAAGGAGATAACTGTATCTAATTTGAAGCTTGACCTAGATAGTTTTATTGCTTTTGCTACAAACAAAATTAATACTGTTGGCTGCTTGTTGTGTTTACCGAAGTTTGAAACAATATAATAACTAGTATGTAAGTACTAAAGCAAACTGATGCGTTAGGGGATGGAAACAAGATAATAACTAGAATGTAAGCACTAAAGGGAACTGATGCGATAGAAAAAAATGGAAATCAATTCATGTTAACACTGGCATTATTATTCACCCTCTTTATACTGTGTTATTTTCTGAAAGAGCTGCTGTATTCAGCTGTTTAGGATTCTGAATGGTATATAGCATCATTGCTTATTTTGAACCAGAGGGTTTTATAGACATGTTTTATGTCATTGGGCTTGAAAGCTGGGCTTAAAAATAAATATAGTATGCAGAAGGAACATTTGTCATTTCGGAGCCCTTTGTAGCTGACTATGCAGTATTGGTTTTACTCATTGTTTAAGGCCGTACGGTGACCTATAGTTGTTAATTTCTGTGTCATTTGGTCTGTTGTGGAGAGTTGTCTCATTGGCAATCATACCATATCTTATTTTTATATTACATATGACAGTATTTATCATATCTTCTATGTAAGGCATGTAGTTATGGATATGAGGTAATAAGATTTGTGTTGCTGATTCTCACGTTCTTCTTAGGGTAATAGTGATCTTTCCAAATTGATTAATATCATTAGAAACTTTATAAGCTGGAACAACAACATACGCATTTTGCTAGGTGATCAAGAATCCACAACCTTTGGTTCTAATTGAATCGTATTTTACGTAGTTTTCGATCCGATTAAAATACAGATCATATGTCAAAGCTTTGATTACAAGGAACTGAAAACGTTCCGTTCTACTTTCTGTTTTAAAAACCTACCGGATCCTCTGGTTTTAATGAATTAATACACACCTTCTAAATTAGAAGGCTAAGATTTCATTGGCTGATGTAATATTCACAAGAACAGAAAGTAAAACAGACTGTTGTCAGATCCTTGTAAGCAAAGCTTGGACACACGCGCGATGTAGTAATCTCCAAGAACGTGACATCGTATCCAATTAAGACCAAGATCAAAAGGATCCGTATTTTAATCAGAGTGTGTAGTTTTTCGTTTAAGACATGGTGTTGTCTCTTTTTGATGAAGTTAGTATCTTCTTTCTTTTATTGATTTCGTCTTTGACTGAATTATAAGTTGATGGGGATAGATTTCGGGGAAAAACCAAGAAATATATGAATGTTGAACATGCAAAGCTGAGGTCACAAGTACTAAACTGTCCCACAGAACTTTTATTTAGTATTTAGTATTTAGACGAAAGACAAATCTAAACCATATAAGTTTTGAAACATAAATTGCTCATGTAATTTTTCTGCATAGATATAAGAAGATGTGGTATGAGTGCCAATGAGACAAATCTCCATCCAAGTCAAAGTTTATAAAAGTAAACCATTATAGGTCACAGTACGGTCTTCAACACAGAGCCTTGGCTCACACCGAATAGTAAGCTATAAAGGGACCCACAAATTACTAGTGTAAAACCATTCAAACGGGAAAACCAACGGTCTAATCTAAATAAAAAACGAGAAACGAGAAACACTTATGAACCACATCAACAAACGACAACTAATGAACATCAGATTCCTGACTTAGGACAGGTGCAAACAAATGCAGCGGGTTTAAACGTTTTAATGGTACCAAACCTTCACCCCTTTTCTGAAACAATAGTGTAACATCACAACATACATGTATGTCAAAACATATGTTATATAATTACCAATGAGACAACTATTTACCACCACAGACCAAAGGACGAGGATTTAAACGTCTTAAATAAATATCATCGTTCGGCCTTCAACAATTAGCATCATCCATACTGTGCAATAAGATACAAAATGCCTGGGCGTGGCATAATATGAAGCAATTCAAAAGAGAAATACTCAGTATAATTTATGCTTAATCCATTAAACAAAAAAACAAGTATAGCAAACAAAAACGAAAAAAACTGAATTACAGTTGCCTGCTTGCATCAACAACATAAAGAAGGAGCATGGTGAGATAGTGACGTTATCGCTCAAACCTTCCTTATCATAAAGAAGGAGCATGGTTAAATAGTTATGTGATCGCTCAAACCTTCCTAAGCATTAAGAAGGAGCATGGTTAGATAGTTATGTGATCGCTCAAACCTTCATTATCATAAAGGAGAAGGATGGTTAAATAGTTATGTCATCGCTCAAACCTTCCTTAGCATTAAGAAGGAGCATGGTTAGATAGTTATGTCATCGCTCAAACCTTCCTCATCATAAAGAAGGAGCATGGTTAGATAGTTATGTGATCGCTCAAACCTTCCTTATCATAAAGGAGGAGGATGGTTAAATAGTTATGTCATCGCTCAAACCTTCCATAGCATTAAGAAGGAGCATGGTGAGATAGTTATGTTATCGCTCAAACCTTCCTTATCATAAAGGAGGAGGATGGTTAAATAGTTATGTCATCGCTCAAACCTTCCATAGCATTAAGAAGGAGCATGATTAGATAGTTATGTGATCGCTCAAACCTTCCTTAGCATAAAGGAGGAGCATGGTTAAATAGTTAAGTGATCGCTCAGACCTTCCTCATCATAAAGAAGAAGCATGGTTAGATAGTTATGTGATCGCTCAAACCTTCCTTATCATAAAGGAGGAGCATGGTTGAATAGTTATGTTATTGCTTAAACCTTCCTTATCATAAAGGAGGAGCATGGTTAAATAGTTATGTCATCGCTCAAACCTTCCTTATCATAAAGGAGGAGCATGGTTGAATAGTTATGTTATTGCTCAAACCTTCCTTATAATAAAGGAGGAGCATGATTAAATAGTTATGTGATCGCTCAAACCTTCCATATAATAAGGAAGGATCATGGTTAGATAGTTATGTGATCGCTCAAACCTTCCTTATCATATAGAAGGAGCATGGTGAGATAGTGACGTTATCGCCCAAACCTTCCTTATCGTAAAGAAGGAGCATGGCCCACGGTTAAATAGTTATGTGATCACTCAAACCTTCCTTATCATAAAGAAGGAGCATGGTGAAATAGTGACGTTATCGCTGAAACCTTCCTTATCACAAAGAAGGAGCATTGTTAAATAGTTATGTGATCGCTCAAACCTTCCTTATCATAAAGAAGGAGCATGGTGAGATAGTGACGTTATCGCTGAAACCTTCCTTATCACAAAGAAGGAGCATGGTTAAATAGTTATGTGATCGCTCAAACCTTCCTTATTATAAAGAAGAACAATTTTTAATTTTCTTTGAAGTAGTGTGTGGAACCTTTTAACAGATGTCGTGTATCAATTCATTATATAAGCAAACACTACTGCACCGGAAAAAAATAACGCAATAGAAAAGGTATTGCTGTTTTCGTTTAAAATTTACAGTGAGGCTTTAACCATGGAATATTATCTGTAATCTCATTTCACTCACTGCTTTGTTTTTTTGTACTCTTGCCAATAGTCTATTTGCCAATTACCGATTTGATTCTGTTATTACACACTTTTAACACAAGTTGGTTCCCTGTGCGTATGGGGTAGACTGGTTCTAGACCGAGTTAAATGTGTTGCTGTCCACGAAATAAAATTGAGAATGGAAATGGGGAATGTGTCAAAGAGACAACAACCCGATCATAGAGCAGACAACAGCCGAAGGCCACCAATGGGTCTTCAATGCAGCGAGAAACGAAAAGCATGACTAGTTGAAAGTGAGATATAGGCGCCGCCGTTTATACCAACCTTTACTTGAAATAACTATTTATATCGAAAGTGTTTAGCTTAACATATCAATAAATGTATTTAAAAGACACTTACAGATTACAAACATTTGTACAGATACATTTGCTCTTTTCGTTAGCTTTTCATTGTGACGGCCAAAGAAAATTTATGTACCGTCTAAGAGAGACAACTCTTACAAATGGATCTCTATTTACTCGGTCAAGTACGTAATTGACAAAAAGACTATTGTATTGGTTGAGCCCTGCCACATTCTGTATATGCCTGTCCCAAGTCAGGAGCCTGTAATTCAGTTGTCATTTGTTGCTGTGTTACATATTTGTTTTTCGTTCATTATTTTGTACATAAATTAGGCCGTTAGTTTTCTCGTTTGAATAGTTTCACATTTGTCATTTCGGGGCCTTTTATAGCTGACTATGCGGTATGGGTTTGCTCATTGTTGAAGGCCGTACGCTGACCCATAGTTGTTAATTTCTGTGTCATTTGATCTCTTGTGGAGAGTTGTCTCATTGGCAATCATACCACATCGTCTTTTTTATGTATATTGTATTATCTGTTTTTGGTTTACACTTTAAATTGTATTGCACTTTTAGTATCTGTTGTATAGTCCTACGGAAATGTTCAAAAAAAAAAACTACACAAACTGTAAGAATTTTGAACAAAGTATATTCAAAACATAACAATACATAGTGTTGTTTAAACATAACAGTACATAGTGTTGTTTAAACATAACAATCTTAGTGTTGTTTAAACATAACAATCTGAGTGATGTTTAAACAACACAAATTTAGTGTTATTTAAACTTAACAAACTTAGCGTTGTTTAAACATAACAGACTTACTATTGTTGTTTAAACTTAACAAACTGAGTATTGTGTAAACTTATCAAACTTAGTGTTGTTTAAAAATAACAAACTTAGCCAAATTATATTCAAAAGCAGAATCATAATACAGTATATCAAAAACCTGCGAAGGCTACTCCAAATTGAAAACTGAACATTTTTTAGATTCCCAAAATGATGGAGCGAGCGAATCCGAAATACTAAGCATCAATTTGGCGTGGCCTTAGAAATACGCTTTGTTTGATTCTGAAACATTTATTGAATACCTTTCTAAACTCATTAACAATGTCATTAAAATATAAATATATGATAAGATATACACAACGTGAATTTTACAATCTTTCTATATTAACGAGTTTTATTTCGATGATTAAACCCTTTTGATAAACCAACATCCAAAAACAATCTGTCGTATTTGACACGGTGTGGGCCATGTTAAATATAAATGTCACGTGATATTTACAGTTTGACAATTTATGAAGAAGCATCAAGATGAAATTAAAGACTACCCTTCGATTGCAGCAAAAGTGATACGTATTCATGTAAAAAGTCTAAAAATCAAGATTGTTCATTTATTTACAATTATCGATAACAAATTATCATGGCACTCTTTTTTTGGCTGTTTCCTTCTCTATTCTTTTCAGTACATAACAGTTACCGGAACTCGGTTCTGTCCAAATGAGAACATCGCAGTTTTCGAAAATGGAAAAAACATAGTATTCATTTTCTTATAGAGATACATATAAGTGTCAGCTTTCATTACCTAGTTTTTTCTGGTAGCGCACTCTTAACAACACACTATATAATCCGAGTGACAAAAGAAACTCAATACCTATACAAGCATTTTCTTGCGATTGTGTAGCAGTTGGTGGCGAGTAAAGACGTCGAGTATTTCTTCGGTGTATTCTGAGTTTTCAGACTAATTGTAATTACAAATGCGCTAGTGAAATTGGTAGTGAGTAAAGATGGCGACTGTTTCCGCGTGGTTTTCAGAGTCATGAGACCAATTGTAATTACAAATGCTATTATGTAGTTGGTGGCGAGTACAGATGGCAACTATGTCTTCGGAGTCTTCTGAGATATCAGACTAATTGTAATTACAAATGCGACTGTGTAGTTGGTGGTGAGTACATATGGCGAGTATGTCTTCCACATGCAGATTTGACGGTGTTAAAATTGAAGAGCAGGAAAATAAACGGGTTGGCAGCACTGTTGAGGGGTGCTAAACTTTGTATAAAAGTATTTATAGCAGTAATGTGTTGTGAAGTTGGATCTGGGATTTGTTGGTACACAAATAATAGGTCAAACACGAAATAAGGACTCCAACAGAAAATGAAAGCTGAAAACGATAAACATTAATATAAAAATACAACCTTTATTATACGTGAAAAATATACATATAGTTATTTTCAACTGTATTATTAAAACAAACTATTTGTCACATTTTTTAAAAAGTGTTTTTATATTTGCATGCTTTATTTTGTTTGTTTTACTGTGCGGTATTTTTTTTTGGCGATTCCATTTATCCTTTTTTATGTATGTCAACTTGAAAATTTAAGTTGTGTTGTATCATATTATTGTTCCTGAGAGTACAGAGATTATTTTTATTTTGTTCCCATAAACTACATATTTACATTTTTATTCTATTTGCTTTATCATCTTTAAGTTAGACATCTTGTTTATATTATAATCTGGTTTTACAGACGCTTCAATAGAATTTTATAGTATTATAGCATAGAATTTACTATTTTAATGGTTTTTTTTAATTCAAACAAAAGCCCATTTGTACATTGTTGTTGCGACTAGTCTGTGTGTTTAGTTTTTCTTTTGTTGCTAAGTCCTATAAATTTTCTTAGTGTTATTTATCCTTGTAACACAGTTAACTACTCGTTATACTATGAATCAGCTTTTGAAAAAAAAAAATCCGCTCAAACTGGTGCTACGGGCCGTCTTAAACTTGCAGTGAGGTGAGAATATTTTTTACTCCGTGTTGAAGGCCTCGTTGTGACTTTGAGATGAAGAACAGCAAGAAAAGCGCTGCTCCTTTGCTTTTTGTGTATTTTTTGCTGAGCATGTACTAATTTTGTGTCATGGATGGATACCCATAACCTTTGTTTTTCCATTACATTTACTTACCTAATACAATAACGAAGGTCATTTTGATTGTTTTGATTTTAGCCTTAGGGATTACCCCTCTAGAACTACTATTCCATCTGACTTTCTTTTCCTTCTGTTGCGGCACAGTCTGTCCGTCTGAAATAAATTCACGAAACAATGGTCCTATAAAAATTTGAAGCTAATGAATGGGCGAATACGTACGCATTGCATTATTTGGACCAAACGTTTGAAAAAGCCACTACGTATAGAAACTATTTCTGTTGCATGGTCGAGAGCAAGCATCTTATTAAGTTATCGAGGATGGGGATATGCTGTAACTCACGATCTTATAAACGGAAAATGTGTCTCTCCCCTATGGTATTTCTAAGTATATTTAAAAATTTTAAATTGTGAATGGATAGGATAACAATGGCGATGGTGCCAAAGAAGCTACAAACAACGTGAAATCGGATATTATTGATTTTTAACGAGTGCTATCGAATCAGTTCTGTGATATTGGTCATAAAATTTTACTCAATACTGGGAGTACAAAATTAGTCCACAAAACACCAAATTCAGTTTTTTGATTGGTTGATATTTGAATCTGAGAACAATAATCGGGCTCGAAATGTTTATGGCTGCAAGACAGAAATGCAGTTATATTATACATTTTTCTCTTTCTATTAATATTTAGCAAAATAACCTAGATGCGTGTGTCTATTTGATGATTTATAAACTTTTTTTTGGTGAAATTCTGTACAGTTGAAACAGTCAAATGTAGTGACTCTTTTAAAAATACGATATCCCCATGCATCATTGCTTCAGTGAGGAATGTAATAATAGCTTTGATCTGTTACCCGAATTGATTTTTATTGAAAAAATCTGCTTTGTTCGCTTGGAATATTTTTATTGGTTTGATATTTGTTATTTTATCGTAAGTCGTAGATTTAAGATTTTTTCAAAAGTTTTAAATTATTCATGGCGGAGCTAATAGAAACCGATTTTATACTAAGTCTTAACAGTTATTTCAATAACAGTTTATGATATGTAAATAAGAAAATGTTATATGATCGCCAATGAGATGACTATCCACTATATACCAAATGACGTAGAAGTTAGTAACAATAGGTCACACTGTCAGTATCATATTCAACAATGAGCAAAACCCATGCCGCATAGCAAACTATAAAAGGACCCTAAATGATATTTATAAAACAATTCGAATGAAAAATTAACGGAATTATTTATGTACAAAACAATAAACAATACTGATGATGATGATGCTGCTTAACGTCCAACAGCAAATTGATATGCATATTCAGGACGAGAACATGTTAATGTAATATAAATATTAACCCTGCTTTGTACTAGACCAACACGATGAACCGGATTTTTAACGTGCTAGGTAACTGTCCGCAGGAAGACTTGTTACCTTACCCGAACACATTACACATTATTCTGACTCCGAGCCGACCAGTCTTTGCTCTACTCCTTAATGCCATGTGCTTAGCGAAGAAGCTGTAAATACCAATTTCAAAGTCTTTGGTTTTACCCGGCCGGGGTTCGAACCCACGATCTCCCGCAATCGAGGCGAACATGCTACCACGAGACCACCGAGACGGTTAAAACAATAAACAAAAATAAATATATAAATATGTGCTATGTGTTTCTTAATTCTACATTGGTTAGAGGTATAGGGTGAGGGTTAAGATCTCACAAAACATGTTTAACCCGCCGAATTTTTGCGCCTGTCTCAATTCAGGAGCCCCTGGCCTTTGTTAGTCTTTTTTTTTTTTAATTTTAGTTCCTTTATATGTTTTGGAATTTAGTGTGACGTCCATTTTCACTGAACCAGTACACAATTTTATTTAGGGGCCAGCTGAGGACCACCTCCAGGTTCGGGATTTTCTCGCTGCGTTGAAGACCCATTGGTGGCCGTCGGCTGTTATCTGCTCTTTGGTCGGGTTGTTGTCTCTTTGACATATTCCCAATTTCCATTCTCAATTTTATAACATACGCATCAACAAACGACAACCACTGAATTACATGATTTTACTTTATATTAAATGTTATACCTTTGTTGATTATGTGTTGTGGAGAACAGCCGTTACTGTAGGTGTCATTTCCCATTGCAAAGTTAGCCTTTCTCCATAAAACAGTTACTATGACAATATAACAGAAGGCAATGATGACAGCTGGTATTATGAAAACAGCAGCAGCATTCAAAGATAAGTAAACCTGCAGTACAAAAAGGAATACTTAATGTACTCAACATGTTATAATCATCTAAAATATTTCATTTTTCTGTGTCGTTAAGATGCAGTCTCATGAATGTTCACGTTTACTTCTAATCTTATTTTATCCAAGAAAAATACAGATATATAACGCAAACAAGGGTAAATTTAGTTTTACTTAATTGTCGCCTTCTTTTTCTATTTTTCTATTCGTTTCATTACCAAGAATCACATTTTCTACTTATGGATGGTCGCTACTTTATTTCAAAATAAGAAGCTTTTTTCTTTCAAAAACTATGAAAAATAACAAGGATTTTATAAGATTTTCAAATATGCCTTTTAAATCTTTATGTAATAAAATTAAGAAAAGAAAAGTAGGGGTTAGCGGGTAAATTGTTTAATGACACTATATCGATAAAACCAGAGAATTCCGAATGTCTGACAAAAAGTCAAAAACAAGTGGAGCGAACATCCTTAATAGTTTCAATGTAGAAAATACTTTTTGTGTCAAAGTTATGACAAAGTGTCATGCCTTCAAAATAATGTTAGATACTTTTAAGTATAGATTTTGTGACTGAACATGAAATCCTGACGTAATAATAATGAAAAGAAAGTGATGCCTTAAACATAATGTTATATTTTGTGACCAAAAACACAAGATGAAATTCTGACTGAATAATGATTGACATGTTCCATTGGTCAGTTATAGGTATATATATAAAAAGTATCTATACAGATGAACTCCAGATGACACCGCATTCGGAATACATCACCGGTTTGTGGTTTTTGAATCCCCGTTGGTATAAAATAATTATTTTATCACTGTAAGTTTCAAATAAAGATAAGAATTCCATATCCTACGTGTCAGCATAAATACAAAATGACACTGAATAAATACTGTTAAATCTATGGCTTAAGTATGTATAATATACTTTGTTTAGATTAAGAATGAGCTAGAAAACTCGACTGAGATCTTCCGTTGATTACTTGTCCAGCGTATTGATACACATAAACATATATAGGAAGATGTTCTCCAGATGACACAGAGATGTACCGTGATAACAGTATGTTGTAATGTTTACTATGAGTTTAGATAGTCCCCGGATGTTACTGTAATTACAAGATATAGAAATATAAGTTCTGCTATCCTTTTTGATATTGTTTCTACGGTATGAATGAAATATTTCGTATTTTTGTTACTTCTTTTTGTGCCAACTTCGTATGCTTCCGTCTAATCTAGAACACCATAAGTTGGTCTCTCGATATCTATTGCTTTTTTGATGTTGTGGTCGAACTTACGAATACCGCACATTTTTATCTTGATGGTTACAGTAATTTGTTCTTGTGAATTTTAAATTGCTCACTAAATATTGGGAATTCTTAACTTCACAATTATAAAAAAAAACTTTAAAAAAATCGGCTTGATTTTCTGTGGTAATATACATGTAAACAAAAAACTCTGTAACAAGTTAGAAAATATATATTTCCCAACAGTCAGGATTCTACTTCGTCAAAATTATCTCCCCATTACGCCAGTCAATTTTTACAATCGTAAAAATGGAAGCCATTGTAGGGATGACGCGCTGCCAATTTAGCTCTTGAAAACCGATAAATTTATCCATATAGTACCATTACGTTCTTTATATGCCAGTTGCATTTTAAAAGACAAATGTATCTACTAGCTATTGTTCATCATTTAATCTACTTTTCTGCATTCAGTCAACTTAAGGTTCATGTGGACCTTTCGTCTAAAATAGCTGCATTTTCACCTTTAAATTTACTCTGAGTACAGACAAACCTGTGCATCTGGAAAAGTTTTAAGGCATAGCATGCCCTAGATAAATAAAATTCAAATATATTTTATGTTTTAGAAAATTAAAAACTTAACCGGATTTTGCAGTGCACTTTTTTTCATTCCTCCAGAAGGTGCCAAAATAAACTAAGTTGGGAAAGAGGTTTGAGAACTTCCCCACAGGTAATAATTGAAGTGAACTGTTTTGATTGATATGGACAATAGATGGACAATAGATACCTGACAATAATTGGTGATTTAAACTGTGTACCTGAGTGGACCATATCAAATGAAACTCAACTGTTTGTTTATTTTATCATCTTCTGCAGGGACGAAAAAAAGTGCACTGCTAAATCCAGTTAAGTTTTAAATTTTCTAAAACATGCAATGCATTATAAGTTTATTTATCTAGGGCATGCTATGCCTTAAAACTTTTCCAGATGCGCAGGTTTGTCTGTACTCAGAGTAAATTTTGAGGTGAAAATGCAGCCATTTTAGCCAAAGGGTCCACATGAACCTTAAAACTTTTGTCTGATCGGTTGTCAGGTGGAAATTTCGAAAGTTCAAAAACATCTAAAAAAATTCTATTTAATATTTCGTGGAAGACAGATAACCCTAAAAAACACACACAAAAAATGAAGTTTTTTTGAAGTTATGCATTTTTAAGATCCAGTTGTAAAGTCTGTCGTCAAGTACTTTTAGTGAAAAATTGTTACTCGAACACACCTACTCTGTTGTTATGACTCATTAGAAAGGTATTTCACTTGACCCATATTATTTATTTTTAGTACTGTGAATTTTAAATGTTATTAAATCAACCTGTATCATAAATTTATGAAAATAATAGAATCTGAAGCGAGATGATGTATCAAATATTTTTGCTTTATACGTTTTCAAGACAGAATAGTCAACTCGGACACGCCCGAGCATAAAAAGGTGCACTCGACTTTCTCTTTTCGATGCAATTTTTGTCCATTTGGGATTTTTTTCAAAAAATCTATCGCCGGGGGCAGAGATGAAAATCAATGTTTTAGATAGATCAATTATCTCTCTGTGGAATTTTTTTCGATGGAATTTATGCTTATGCACAAAAAAGATCCACCTGGATTTAAACATGCCACAATCGACTGTTTTAAACACGTATATAAGATGCATAAAATCATAAATTATGCACCTTTATTAAACTTTTAAAGCCCTTAGAAACAGATGTAAACAATTCAAATATACCAATTTTGCTTTTTTACCTTCTCTAACAAAGAGTTCCATTTCTTTTGTTTAATTTCAACTGGGTTTCCGCCTGCCAATCTAATGAGTAACTCGATGTTTGAGGCTAAAATCCCGATGATTTATAAGAATGATATGGTTAATTTGAATAATGTTTTTCATACAAATGTACAAAATTGAATAACACATTTTCAGTTTGAATCAAAACTATCAAAATATTAATAATCCCGAAATGCAGGTCTGAGTGTTTTTTTGTTGTTTTTTTTTTTTGGAGAAGCGGAAACACGGACACATCGACAGCGTTGTATATTGTATACAGTTGTGTTAACAAAATCCTCGGTAGGGTTAGACAGACGTACAGCGATTAGACAAACACACGGGCTAGCCAGTTTTATTCGCAATTAATGTTATGTTACTATACGAACCTGCCACATCCACTGTTTGGAAAATTCTATTTTACAAAATTTCATATTTTGTTCTTCTTTGACGAAAAACAATAATAACATTGGAAATGCAAACAACGCAGCAAATATCCAAGCTAAGGCTATCAACGTCCAGCTTTTACCTACAAACATACAAAAACCAGCTAGAATCATTTGTAAAATCGGACAATACTTAACAGATATATATCATTTCAGAAAGAGCATTTGGGAATCATACCATTCGAGAGAAGTTATATTTTTTCTGAGACGATAGGTGACGTCTGTTTCTCCTCACCTCTCGCGAGAGTTTATTACATGAAATATCAATAGAGGTGGTAATAAAAAGGTAGGTGAATTCACTGTTTCTTCTGCTCTCGCGAGAGTTTATTACATGCATTATCAATGGAGGTGGTAAGTTAAACATTCGAAATGATAGTCTTTCGTATTTATAAAGATGGCTGCTGGATCACAGTTATACAATTATTGTCACATTAACCTAATAAGTCTGTTTTGATTGCTCACCCAATTATGACAGTATAATGGAACTATAAACAAATATCATACAAGACGGAAGTTTAGCTAGTTCTAAAACCAGGTTTAACTCACCATTTTCGTCGGAAAATGCCGGTACCAAGTCAGGAATATGGTAGTTGTTTTTCACTTGTTCCGTTGATTGAAAGCGTTTGATTTTGTCAGTTTTTATAGACTTCCCCTTTTTTTAAATTTGCTTTGAAGTACAGTATTTTTGTTATTCTTTTTTAATCAAGCACGCAAATGATAAAGGGTCTCAATGAAAGTAAAAAAAAAGGCATATCGAAAGTGTTTTCCATAAATTGTTTTGTTATGAATAAGGCGTTTGTTTTCTTTCTGAATTGTTTCACATTTTCCATGTTGGGGCCTTATATAGCCGACTATACGGTATGTGTTTTTCTCTCTGTTGTAGACCGTACGTACGGTTGCTTATAATTGCTAACATTCACTTCATGTGAACTCTGGTGGATCATAGTTTTCTCACTGGCAATCATATCACATCTCCTAATTTATATATAGATTTTGGCAAATACCAAGGCAAAGAAGATAAAACAGACATGTTTGTGCATATACACCGACGATGGTGAAATATACATCGGGATCTGTATTCTAATCAGATTGGAATACAGCGTTCTGATATAGTATTTATACAACGAAGAAACTGAATAATCGTTAGTACGTTCAGAAGAATAAAATGAGTGCGTAGGATCAAACAAAGGTAACTATTAAAAATAATATGGTGAGTCTTTTTCTTATTAAACCAACGTTAATTTTGATTCTAGAAAAAGAATAACGGTTGGTTAACATTTTGACGACACAACAATTGTTTAAAAGAGGTTGCATGCTTATAATAGTCATTGCCTATTCAAGGATTTTCATTTATTTTTTTTATAGAAATCTAAGGTTTCAATCACAATCTATCAATAAAAGTGAAAAAAGTCAAAGATTAATACCCTTTATCAATTCCTTTTATGGATTTTATAATACTGATTACTCGGTCATAAAGTGCAACACTTAATTTCAAATACATGAGAGAGCGAACAGATCATAAAACGTAATGATAGATTGTATGTTCAGCATAAATAAATGAAAGACTTTTAATGTGTATAAACTGCTTCTGGTATAAACATGCAACTTAGATTAAAATAACCCAGACGAAACGACATTATATCAGAATCATATATCCCGGAGAAGTAGGTTGACATGTTCAAATCAGACATGATCAACAATTACTGTTACACTTTGCAATCATGTGACCTTTCTCCCAACTTAACATTTATAGGAATTTCCTAGAGTTATCAGGTCACGTGTTAAAGCTACCGGTGATTATCTGTAAGGGTCTGGAGGGAGTTTACAGACTGAAAAAAAAATGGTAAAAAAGTGAAGAATAATTGGCAAACAAAACTAATGAATAATTAAAATATGATATAAACATAGAGAATAATGGGCAAAATAAATAAAAAATAGAGACAAATGGTTTAAAAAATTGAAGCATAAAGAAGTCAACCCCCACCCAGACCTTCATCTATTAAACCTACCATTCCCAGCTCTATTAAGTGGACGGATAACCACACTGAGTCGATCTATACTCAATGCAACAAGTGAGAATGCTGATGCGTATGTTGACATAGCTTGTAGAAACTTGACAATCTTACATCCGGGATCAGGGGTCTCCCACGTGATAGTTATCTTCGAAATTACATCCGTAAGTACCAGGAATATCCCTACCATAAGATCTGAAAAATAATGTCAATATATTTTTATTACAACGGTGTGTGGATACAATGAAGTGTAAATTAAAGAAATCAGGCCGTTAGTTTTCTCGTTTAAATTGTTTTACATTTGTCATTTCAGGGCCTTTTATAGCTTTCTATGCGGTATGGACTTTTCTCATTGTTGAAGATCGGACAGTGCCCTATAGTTGCTAACATCTACGTCATTTTATCTCTGGCGGCGAGCTATCTCATTGGCAACCAGACCACATCTTCGTACTTTTTTTTTTATACCAGAGAAATAAATAATTAAAATAAGAAACCTATCACTCTGCCTCACGGGACAAAATACTCCGTTAAAAGACAACAGCTGTCAAACCGTAGGACAATTATAATAATTGATATAACAGTTATTGCAACAACTAGTTTCGAATTTTTACTTTCTTGTAAAGAAGTCATGGTAATTATTTATCGTGCATAGGGTAAATTGCACAGACATTTACAGCTAGAATATGTATCATTCTTGTTATTGATTATGACATTACTAGTTCATTCAGTGGCTGGTAGACAGTTAAGGAAACCTTGCTGACGTCTTTAATTAATCTATGTTTGATTACTGGCTTTTTTGACTTTTCAAAAAGCACCTGCTAGTAACATTCCAAGTTCTATTCGAAGCCGTATTGTTCAGAGTTCAGAACCTTCTGTTTTTATACATACTAGTACCCAGAAATGTACACACTTAGTTGTATGCTTGTTTTTTGTAATGTTGCTATATGCTTGTTTTTTGTAATGTTGGTATGTTAAGTCCATGACTTTTACTCTAGGTTTTCGATATTTTTCTTTTTTCTTTAGATATTTTCTTTATATTTTTTCATTTTCTATGTGATAACATTATGTAATGGTATATTTCTATGTCTCATTTTCTTTTTAACGAATAAGGTATGAATTCAACAGATTTTTTTCAGGAAGGGGAATGGAATACAAAAAAACATTGTGTTATCACAAAATCAATCCCGAGAAGATAAACAGCCAGTTAAGTTGATTAATGGCGTGTAGAGAAATGATTTGTGTCGAGTATTTCATTATGGAAAGATCATTTATAGATTTCTACACATACTTCATATTTGGTCAATACAGCCTATAGTTATATATTTCTATTGAACTACTTTTCGAACACACAGATGTACATGTATTGATCATTACTATCGAAACATGGATATTATGGAAATTTTCGATCGGTAGTATGTGTGCCGTTAATTCAGCATCAAATGCTTTATCTTGAAAGAACAATCATTAACTGTTTCAGTAGTTCAATGACCCATATGAATGAAAACATGTTGAATAAAGGACCTATTATACGTCATTTATGACTAACCTACCAAATTTGTCTCTAATAAAACGCCCCCGCTCGACACACCGTTTATACTTTAGAATTACTTTTGGTTGTTTTGTATATTTCCAAAATACTTGAACAAGCACATCAAATGTAGAACTTAAACGAAATCAATTCTTGTTTCTTAATCTTAAATTTCTATTTGTCTGCTAGTTTTTAAATAAATGCAATTCAGTGCCAATCTGCCTAAGAATCAGGCAGTGGTGAAAACATGACAAACAAAACCCCACTAAAGTTGACATTAATGTAAGTTCAAAATGTATAATGGTGCACGAATATAACGTTCGTTTCTTTTTCCGGTTCTGGTAATTCAAGATATAATTTGGTTGAAATGCACTCGAAATTACCAATTGAGGGGAGCTAACTCCGTAATTTGCTATTATTCTAACTAAAAGTTATCTAGAGATTTCTCGAATTAACAGACACGCTGAAACGAAAGACCTACCATTTCTAACTCAGGACGAGGAGAACTTCAAACTAGGATGGTTAGGTCGGTGGGTTTTTTCTGTCATGTGTTGAGATTCTTCTAAATTGCCCGATTCTTACAAAGACTGGCACTTAATGATAGAACATTATTTGTTTTATGAGTTCTATAACAAGACATTTTCTGAAGATAATGCGCCTCTTTTAACATTGTTCAGTATATCGAAACGACCTCCGTGCTTATAATTGCATCAATTACGGTTCATTTCAGTGAATATAAACAGTATACTGTTGACACAGATATATGTCTCGCATGTATCTAATTTCGATAGCATGATTCAAATGAATAAATTTAAATGATAACAATTTACTGAGTTAACTATGTAAAACATTCAAAGTGAATAACCCGCAAGGCTGACTGGGGAATATAAAATTGGTAACTTTGGCCTTCATCCGACCGGTAGTAAAACCCTATCTAAAGTGGGGCGTGCGGGCTGTGCGGAATGTACAAGTACGCAGCCACGTCCGGTTAAAATGGGGAGTTAAATCTGGTGTCTCGTGACAAGAGAGTGCCACTCTCTTTGCACATTTAGAGCCATTGCAACAACTCAAAAGGTCCGTATGTGGCCTTTTGCAAGGCAACATTTCGATCCCTATCCAATATACCCTGATTTTCTAGTGACAGTCCAAATTTCCCCGACCTTCATCCCGGACGACCTCTATTACAAGACCTGCCTTTTGTATTCATTGCCAACTTGTTCTCGTCCTGAACATGTATGAAATGTTTGCCACTGAACGTTAAACAGCCAACAATCTATAAATCAATCAAAGTCAGTGGACAGTGTCTGAGAGGTTGGGGTCACATAATGTCCTTGGAATAATATACGCAACTGCATGCACAGTATCATTGACCTTAATTAAAAACTAAAACAAGACTAAAGTTTCAGAGTCCAATGACCATAACTACGGAGACGGGGTAAACAAATTGCCATTTAGATTAGATGGGCAAATGCTCAAATGCTTATATATGTACAGTTGCATACCAAATATCATCGATCTACAGTTAGCGGTTTCCTTATGTTGCAAGCGAGACAAAAACAGTTTTACAGCTTCATATATACTACATTTTGTACTACGTTTTGAATGTGTACTTTTTGGGCATAATATGTTTAAAGCACTTTAAAAGAAAAGCAGTATTCATGGTAAATGTACGTTGAGGTTTTGACAACATTTTGTCAAAATATAGATGTCTCTTACTGAATATTTTGATAAATTAGAAAATTGTTTTTCTGGCAAAAAGTCATTTGAAAGACATATCAAAATTAACTTTCAATTTTCATTTAGGTTCCGTATGCATTGAAATGCACAATTCTGAAATTGCATATTAGATTTGTAATGATTTTGAAAATTGCCTCTCACAGTCACGAGTTCGATACTAAGACATGTTTTAAAAGGTATATTATACATGTTACTTTATATTCAAATTTTAGTTGGTTACATAAACTATCCAATATTAACCGTCTGCATGTAATAAATACATCAGAAAGCAACTATACCGTATTCCGTTTTCAAATTTCGGTTTTTGGTTGTCCCTTGGTTTATCATAAATCTCAATTTTTTCTCCCTATCGATTGTAGAAGACTGATTTCCCTTGCTAATTTTTCTGGTCAACCCTAGACTTCAGAATAAGTAATAAACTATTATGACAAGAGACATTGTCATTATACAAATAAGGATAAAAAGACATCGTATTCCCAAAGCTGGTGATAACAAGTATTAGTAATCAAATGATTCTGTACAATGGTTTATAAACACAGTCAACATATATAAGACAGACGTAGTTAGGGAATAACTTCAATAAACAAATGGTCAGCACATGATTTGTTCCTTCGTTATTACTATACAACATACTATCCTTACATAAAGATCACTAATGTTTAAAAAAAGGTACTGTAAAATTGAGATATTATTGCGATTTTGGAAGAATGGACAAACATGCGAGATTAAGGTGGTACCCAACACCTTGACTAATATTAATTTGGCTCGTTTAATTTTCATAAAATTTTGACAAAATGTTTACTTTGACCCTTTGACAAAAATATAAAAATTTCAAAAAATTTGAACCAACCACTTTATCAGAAAAATTTCGTTGGTTATATAGCAGTTTGACAAACACTAATTTTGATCATTGAGAAGCTTAATATTTCCTTAACAATACAACGTAATTAAAACGTTTAGCTGATTTTTACAGAGTTATCTCCCTGTAGTGTTAGGTACCACCTTAATAATTCCGATGTTAAGAAAAACTGCAGGCAGTAATTTTGTACAGATATATGTTACAGATATTAAAGTGCGTTTCCTATTGTTAAGGAAATATCAAGCTTCTCAATGATCAAAAATAGTGTTTGTCAAACTGCTATGTATCCAATAAAATTTTTCCGATAAAGTGAGTGGATAAAGTTTTTTGAAATTTTTATATTTTTTGTCAAAGGGTCAAAGTGAATGTTTTGTCAAAATTTTATGAAAATTAAACGAGCCAAATTAATTTTAGGCAAGGTGTTTGGTACCACCTTAATACAAACCTCGCAATAATATCTGCACATTTTCAAACTGAATAGTTATACACATCCTTGCACCAACTAAGGTAGATAAGTCGTTTAAATGTTCGACGATAAAATTTTCTTAAACTTTATTAAAAGACGTCTTAATCGATGTATTTTCAAATCCCAATGTTAAAACTGAAGCACGGACCCTGTTTGTTCGTTAAAATACATTGAAATTAACTAACACGCACTGTTATTTTAAATGGGTTATATGGGGGAAACACATTTTTTTCATTTTTTGACTAAACATTACACGATAGAATTGATTAACATCAAACGAGAGAAATGTTTTTCATAGATACTTCCGAAATATCAGATAAAAAGGGAGGTCACGGGCCTTATTTTCTTGAACCAAAACAATCAAGTTGTCCTGTCAAGTTTAATATAACTATCTACCCTTGAATTTGAAAGTATTTTTTTCTGAAAATTTTAAATACACTTAACGACACTTCATTTTTCTATCGCAATAATTAAAAAAAACTTGCTTTGTGATATCTGATACGTATCTCTGTATACAGACTTTCCTGAACGCGCAAATTAATCTCGCATTTTTGTCCAATCTTCAACTCGCAATAATAAATGCACGCAAAACATTTTGAGATTAC